GGCAGCGCTCAGCAGCTGGGGTGAGTTAGAGATGCGCACGACAGGCTCTCCATCCCGCTGCCCCAGGGGCTGCTGGTGGGCACCGGGCACAGCTCACCTCCGTGTAGTGCTGGACCAGGGCAGCGCTGGTCATGGCCCCCCGGTAGTAGCAGGGTGTCACAACCAGTGCCACGTCGGCCCCTGCCTCTGCCATGCTGACCGAGAGCTTGATGGTGGCCTGGGTGGCTGGGGAGGAGGCAGAGTGTTGAGGGATGTCCTGGGGGGACACATGGCCCCCCGTGCTGCCCACGCAGGCACTCACATTCGCAGCCTGAGCCAGCCAGCAGCAGGCGGTCCCTGGGCACAGCACGGCGCACGCAGCTCACTACCTCCAGCCGCTCGTGGGGTGCCAGGTAGGGGTACTCCCCGTTGGAGCCCAGCACCACCAGCCCTGAAATGCAAGCATGGGGAGGGCAGGGCTTGGTCATAGGAGCAGGGTGCCCATGAGGCAGCCATCCCTGCTCCACAAAGGGCACATGTGGGTATGTGTCCCCAGACCACAGTGCCCATCCTCACTGCACTGAACAGTGGCAGTGCCATCCCCTACCCAGGCACCCTCATACATGCCGTGCATGCACCCTGTGTGCTGAGCATGCTGCCTGCCTGCCTCCATCCCCAGAAGCCACCCCACACAGCACCCCCAGTGAGGGATTTATTGGTGGCTGCAGCCAGGCTGTCCCATCCTGTCCCCAGCTGGGGCATGCAGACCCCTTCCCTGGGACACCGCCAGTGCCATGGGCACAGGCAGGCCAGCTCCAGCCTGGTGCTGCTGGGCTCTGCCCTGGCATCCTGGGCTCCTGTGTGTGTCTCCATCACGCTCTCCCTCCATGGCCCCTAGGCTCCCAGATTCTGCAGGACACAGTGTGCCCTCTCCTGTCCCTGTCCCTACAGCCAGGCAAGCCCTGGACTCAGCCTGTTCACAAGAGGGGAGACCCCAGGGCACATCCCTGCCACCCCCAGCCTCTTCCTGCAGCCCCCCTCCTCCCATCTCCATCCCAGGCAATCAACGGGTGTGCATCCCATGGCATGGTATCCATGTGAGTGTTGTGTACAGGTGTGCAGAGGGTGGGTGTGAGCCTGCAGCTACGTGCAGAGTGTGCACACAAGCATGCACTGCAGTGTGAGAGGGAGATGCAGGGACACACACACGCATCTGCCTGGGCACTCGCCATGCAAAGGGCAGCAGGTGGGTCACCCAAGGGGCTGCCAGCCCTGGAGCAAAGTCCGGCTGGAGGCTG